CCGGCACAGCCAGCTGAGAAGGAGCAGGAAGCGAAGTAGTTTCCGTGTTTCACTGGGTCCAGTACGTTTAGAAATGAGAATGGACCATTGGAGGCTGGACATGGTAATTGCTGGTGAACTTGACAAAAGCAGTTTCAGCGAAATGATGAGGGTAAAAGACTGACTGGTTTCCAAAGAAAAAGAGAGGAGAAAAAATGGAGATGGTGCATTTATACGATTTTTTTCTAGTTCTGCTGCAGGAGAATAGGGATACGTGTGATAACTAGAAGCGGGGTCAACAGGGGCCTTTCATAAGACAGGAGAAATAAGAGCATGTTTGTATGTTGATGGGTGGAAACACCCAGCCAAGACGGAGAGGAGAATCTCTGGAACGAGGTTCGGGAACAGTCCAGACGAGGGATGGGAGTTCATGTACAAGGGGAGAGCTGGCTTTCTTAGGAGCCCCGAGCAGTCCTCAAGCCCAAGAGAAAGCTGATTATGGGCAGAGCTGCAGGAAGATGGCAAGTGCGCTCGCTTCTGCTTGGGTTAAATAAACTTTAAAACTTGCTACCAAAGCACCTGGCCTACAGTCATATCTGTTCTTCTCAGAAGGGAGTGGTATCTTTTTGGGGTGTGGTGAGGTGGGGAACGGCATTTTCGAATCTGGAGTTGGTTAGTTTCTCATCCATACCATGACATCGTCTTAAGTGTGCACAACGTTTGAACAATTTAATTCAAGGTTTTCTTCGGTCGTACTCTTTTTTCCTGAGCTGCTCAAATATGCCTATTATTAAAAACTCATTTTCTTTAACTTCTTATATATTCGGGGGAAACTATTTCTTAGATGATTTTGGAAATTGTGGTGTTTCAACATGTGTCTTCAAGGTTACTTTCATTAGTTAGGTACACCAAGCACACTTTGATAAGAAATAGATACCAAACTCGGAAGGAGAAAGAAATGATTATTCTGGCGATGTTTACATTCCATTAATGTTCTGTTTTAATAGTTCTAAAAACATTTTTATTTTAACATAATTACTAAAGATCCAAATTGCTATTTTAAAAAACTAGTAACATCCATCAAATTAGCTCTTCACCTAAGGGAAAATTATTGTTTTTATAGCCCACACTACTGCATTGCATAAGTTAAACTTCAGTACCAGAGTAGATTTTGTTATGTGTTCTTAGACTTCAGTACCAGAGTAGATTTTGTTATGTGTTCTTCGCATAAACAACAACAACAACAACAACAACAAAATGATCATGGTTTCCTCTCATGGATGTTTATGGCCCTGATGGTGGCGATGTTTTCGCCCAAATCATCAAAACGTAAAAATAAAATAAAATAAAATTCTAGTTCTTTAAAATTATATTCGGCTGTGTGGATCAGACATTTCAGTGTGCCATTGATTTTATACGCTTTTTTTTTTTCTTTTTTTTGATGACTACCCAAATGGTTTCTAATATTTCGGACTGGACTTCCCCTAACTTAAATGCCTCTCGTGAACAACCCACACGTCCCTTCCAAAGCGGTACAGTGACATTGTTATTCTCCGTGAAAGGAAGGTCATGCAGTTAAGAGAGAGTTGGCTGACGTTCTGATTCAATTTCGCCTCGGGCGACCTTACCACACGGTGGCCGGGCACGCGCTCCCCAGGTGAAAGGTCGCTCTCCAAGGGAAGG